GGAAAAATTAGATTTGTTTGAAAGAATATTAGTAGTATTTAATGTTTGTACAAAATATGCTTGTTGTTATGTCTAAATGACTTCAACTTCAGCCAATAGAAACTCTTAAGTTTGCTATTACAATTATTTGACTTTAAGAATCTGTTTCAACATTTTTACTTCATCAGGTTCTTTCAAAATATTAGCCTGAAGAGTTTTTGTTCTTATCTGTGGTTCTTTGCTGTATGACAACCTGACATGCTATCACGTTTCACCTGCATAGTTCACTGTTTTTTTTTAGATGAAATAAAATATTGGTTTGGATTGTGTTTGTTGTAATGGGTGCAATTAGAGACTTAGTGAAAACTAGGTTACACTGTAAATTAAAAAGATCTGTTTCAGCCCCAAAGTGTCAATTCAGCCCTGCAGGCCAAAGTCTGATTCAGCCCTTCTTGGAGCCATTTGAGCACAATTTAGGCCAAAAAAGCTCTATCAAAAGGCTATTCCAGCCCACGGTAGGGCCCATTTCAGCCCTAGCTAATTGGACTGTATTGGCCCTGATTTAAGGGAGCCAAATTATACCCAAAAATAGGACTGTATTTTACTCACCGAAACGGCCCTGTTTTTAGGGCTAAAACAGATCTTTCTGATTTAGAGTATACTATTAATTGAGAAAGCAAGTACCTATTATCCTCACTTTGACTTTCCATTTCTCTTACAGACATGTTAGTACTCGACTGTCTCTTCGTGAACTAGAATGTAATGCTGAGAAAAAGAATGACTTTCTCAAGGCATGGAAACTGATTCAGGAACTGCCACCAACTAATCCGAACTCATTCTGGTCAATAGCATCATACCATGGCATGCCATTCAAAGGCCGTCAAGTTCCACTGCTTGGGGATGAAAGTGAGAAGGACTCCAGTGGCACTGGTAAGGATGAGGGTCTAGAAAAGGTCAGAACGTGGGGTGGCTACTGCCAACATGCCAATGTTCTCTTCCCATTTTGGCACCGACTTTATTGCCTTCGTTTAGAACAGGCACTGCAGTCAGTACTGGAAAGGGGGAAAGAACGAGTGGCATTGCACTACTGGGATGAATCAAGCGAAGAAACCAAGAAGTACGGTCTGCCCGACATAGTCACAGCCGAGTATGTGTACATTGATAAGGAGCTTGTGCCAAATCCCCTGTTCAAATTCAAGCTGCCCATGCCCATCAAAGATGATGTTCCAAACACTGATCCAGATAGCAAGTTTTATGAGAAAGAAGTTGGCTATGACACCTGCAGGTATCCATACTCGGGCATCCGAAGTCCTGATGCTGCTAAGGCGGCCGCTTTAGCTCACAATGACACTATAGATGGGACACAGGCGATACCCCTTTTACAAGACAACATCATCGGCTGGCTAAATGAGGGTCTTAAGAAAGGAAAATCAGCTTATGTCGGTGTTGCCAAGCAGTTTAAAGATTGCCTTGAGACACCAGAGTACAATCCATTCTCAAACACGACATCTGTTCGTTGTGATCCTTCATTTACTTCACTTGAGCAGCCACATAATGATCTACATTTGGCCGTAGGTGGATTCACACAACCGGAAACTAATGAAGATGGAAGCGTTAAACAGGATTCCCAGGGAAACATCATGTGGAAAGGTCCAATTGAAGGAGCAAATGGTGACATGGGTGCAAACGAGGTGGCTTCGTACGACCCAGTTTTCTTCTTGCATCACTGCAACATTGATCGCATGCTTTGGGTCTGGCAGAAGAAGCATAAGAAGACGAATCCGAGCACATTCACCATTGACAACAGTGATGAAGAGGACAAAGGCATCTCGAACAGCAGCCAAGGTGCTACTCCCCACCAGACATGGGGCCAAAAGCTAAACGAGAAAACCATTCTTTACCCGTTTCAAGATGAGTACGGTGTCCCTCGAACATCCAGCGATTGCATCGACATTGTCGATCAGCTTGGTTATGATTACTCCATTGGCTCGCTGGATCAAGAACACTGGCCTAAACCTGAAAGAGTAAAGACCGACGTCTCCCTGCTACGTACGCCGAGCACACGCTGGCAGGATATTTTTGATAAGCTGAAAAAGGAAAGCCCCACTGTCACAGGTCTCCAACGCTTCCGACTGATATTTGACCTTACTCACCTTCCTGCAATGACGGCACCTTTTCCTGATCGTGACAAGTTGAAATATTTTATTCAGGTCCAGGATGTCAACAAGGACAAGATTTCAGGATCTTTCCTTGTGCAAGTGTTCTACAGAGCCAATACTGGAAAGCTCTACTGTCTGGGACAGCGCGGTGTTCTGTCCAGGTGGAACAGAAGCAACTGCGCTAACTGCCAGGGACGCAGGATGGCTGACATCTCCATTCCAATCAGAGGAGGCGACGGTGCTCCGTTTGACCCTCAGAACCGAGAGAACCGAGAGAACCTAGAGGTGCACCTTGTGAGTAAGGACGGGATGACCGGTAAGTACAAAAGAGAGATTAAGCTCACCGGCAAAGATCTTACTGAACCGGTAGTGCCGTTTGCTGCCAGAAGTGCTCCTGGTGAGCAAAAGCCTTCACTTCGCATCTTCGCGCTTGCATCATGAAGGCTAAACTAAGAGAGAAGACATAAAATCCAGCATAAGAGGGAAGCGTGGTTCATTATCAATTTTCAATAATAAAATTATTACTGGCAATTTTTGGACAAAATTATTACCAAGTCAGCATTATGTACAAGTATGTATCATCAGAATGTTATATTAGGTGCACTTCTAATTTCAAGAAAGTTAAATCCTTGCTACTTTAAAGCATTAGTGCTTGAGATGCATTATTATTATAAAATTTGCTTCATTCAATTCAGCATTGGAGGCTAATCTTGTCTGCATTGTTTCAAGATCTATGAAAACTGAAAAAAATCTTCCATATTTTTTTTGCTAGCCAACTACAGTAGATGATAGATGATATTAACATGCAGTAAAAGTTTGAATCATTTATGTATTTATTGTTATACCTGTAGCTTTTTTTTTCTTTGAAATTCTACCACCACTGCAGTATCAAAATTTTAGTAAGTGTATAATTAGCATGTAAAGCTTATAAAGTTTGCCGAATAACCAGCTGCACTTTTTGCACTATTTCAATTTTGACAATATTGTTACTAATCTTAGCCTTCATGATATGGAAAACATCAAACCCAGTCTATGCTTTTAGCCTATTTTAATCATCATAAGCTTTTAGAAACTGGCTTTTTTATTATTTCTTTTTTATCCATATCTACTTGCTTATTTTGTGTGCTTAAGAGCTTACACTATGTGACAACAAATTGTGAGTAAAAGTTAAGTAAGAAGATTAACAGTATGATCATAGCAGATTTAGTCACTTTGTTGCAACAATGAACTAATAATAAATCAATAAAAATCGACAATTCTTTTTAGCAGTTTAATCCCTCATAGGTACATATAAACGTATAAAAAATAATGTTTTTAAAGCATGTTTTTTGTGCATTAGTAGGACAAAAGCTTTCAAGCTCAGCATACTAGCAAACCAGACACATTTATGTATATTCAGTTACTTAGTAGGTTTGTAACACATAATAGCTTAACTGATTACAACATTACTCCTTGGGGTCCATGAAGGCACTAGGTTCTAGTACCGGTCTATGGTGACTTTCTGTTCAAAGTGATCTTTGAGTCGATTTCAGTTGTGATGCCATCGTTGTAGAGGGTCTATTGATAGAAGGTGGTAGCAAACTTGAATAGCAAACTCTTTTGGCGAGCCACAACAATTGTAAGTGCTTGCATGGACTAGTAGGTAGCCTCATGGCCTAATATAGATATTTTACAACCTACACATTTAAAAATAAGTAATCAGATTTTTTCAAAACAATTTCAACCCTACTAGAGGAGACTTTTGACAGTGAAGGTAAGGTAGAATCTGTGCCCATCCAAGTGATTCTGTTAGCATGCATTTTTACATATTTTAGTATTCCCGCCAATTTCCATGATTTGGCTCATTTTATACGAGTGAATGTTTTATATTCGAGTGTTTGATGATTTGGCTTATTCTATTTTGTTGAGTTTTCTGATACTTAAAGTTTAAAACTGGGGTTTAATGAGGTCACCGTGCTTAAGCTCCGAAGAACGTGATCTTAAGGTAGGAAACTTATCAACATGTGATGTACCAGGCTGTTCCTAAGCAACGCGTTCCATTCCAAATGGTAGCACAAGTGCACGTGTTTGGAAAGCCCTCACGAGAAGCTTCGTGCGTTCCCGAAGTCTTCCTTTTTGTTGGCTTTACACTGGACATAATGGCGGGCCAACTTAATTATTTCTACCGCAAAAGCCGTAAACAACTTTTGTTCTCTTAACCCGAGCAATTTCTTAGGTTGCTCTGGAACCACGAGTGGCACGTAATGCTAGCACCACAGCCTGGTCATCTCTCCTAGCAATAATGGTGCTGAAATTAAGTACTTTAGCTAAGTTACCGGTTTGTAAGAATCATCCTGGCCTATTTGCCAGCAAGAACTGTGGTACTGCTTGAGTTCGCTCTACAGCGAACCAGGAACACTTTAATTAGTTTGTTGAATTACTTCCTTTATTAACATGCTGTAACAATAAGCTTTTCACCGTTTGTAATCCGTTCCCGAAATGAGATCACGTTCCGACAAGTTTGTACTGAATTGATAGCAGCTCCCACACGCTACAAGTCAACTATTACAGGTCAGCGAACGAAGACCAGTACGCGCAGTGATTGGTGTTGAAACACCTCTCGGTTGGTCTTGCATTGACTTAGGTTCGGCTAATCATTAAAGATAGAGTGAAACGTGACACGGTTAGCGAAACGCGGAATCGGCGCTAATCCGTCAAAGGATGCCGAAAGGTTACCGCTTTTTGAATAGAACCTGCTTTTGACCAATCACTGCGTAGCCTGTAGCGTCGCGCGTTCTATTAGTAGCGTGGTTTTTAGTGTAGAGTAAGAGAGTGTTAGCTGACCGCCAGGCGGTCAAGACCTATTAAAACCTCAGTTGAAAAGTCAAGACTGGTCTGCCAAGTTTTCCTTCAGAAGTTAATTCCCCCAAAAGAGACAATCCCGAAAAGCCCCGCCACATATTGACAATAAGTCCCGTAACAATTCTATTCAAAACACTGCAGCTTATACTGGTGTTGGAAGAAAAGTGTGAGAAGGAGTATTTCTCCTGAGCTCTCCTTGCAGTCCGAGATGGGATGCTGGTCTGTTACACTGTAAGCTCACCAAGTACCAGTTGTACATCTGGGTGGTGAGAGGCACTGCGAGAGTAAAGTGTCTTGCCCAAGAACAAACCAAATTAGACTGCTTGATGTGCAGTCCAGAGCACCAACCATTTGTGAGAGTTTGAATTAAAATTGAATTGAATTGAGACCACCGTGTCTCCTCCATTTCCCAAATAACGAATTATAGCTAAATAGCCTGAAGCTAAATGGTCAAAGATTGAAGTCTGATGCATGCAGTGGAAAGAAATTCATTTGGATCCCTCCCCCCACAAATGAACATTCTTCAACAAGATACCCCAGGCACTGCTAGGTTATCTCGTCACATCCATGCAACAAAAGATTCTTGAAACAGCTGAACCAGTCAACAGTGATACAACCACTTTCCTGTTCAATTCATTTTTGCCAGATTTGTGTCTTATTAATAATGGTTATAGGACTGAGTGGAGTCCAATTCATTCTGAAATCATACGAGTGATCAACAAAATTGGATGACCGCGCAGCGGGAGTCTGATTTGTTAATTACGAGTATGATTACAGACTGAATTGGACAACATGATGTCCTGTTACCAATTAATCGTAACAATTATAATTTTCCACAAAAGTAAAATTTTCAATTGAAAAAGAGCCTTTGATAGTCATTTTTAAATGTCATAATAACGAATAAAAATATGGAAAATAGCTTGCAAAATGTAAGTTTCGTTAAAAACAGTCACCGGAGACTAAACCTCCACAATTTTACAAAGTCAGGCTTGTAAATTGGTTAACATAGTGATTGTAATCAATTTTCTGATTGGTGGATTTAGTGGAGAGGACTTAAAATCACTGGCTCATGTAACTGTCCGATTACAGGTGTCCGATTACAGCCAGCTGTCCAGTTAAAACTTTGCAGATTAATTAGAGCAAAATACAACAGTTTATGCACCCATGACCATAATAGAGAGATTTAGCAAAGAGGACGGCAACGGCAACGGGAACGCCACAAAACAATAGGCTTAATGAGCACAAACAATCACTCTCCACGCACGTTTTAAAGTTTTGTACATTTCTCTGTCGTCCTCTGCAAAATAACAACGTCAAATGACCAATTTTTAGGTTTTTTCGAGAACCTGAGCGCATGACGGTAAATCTTTGCTTCTTTTCTTACTTTAACGCCGTTCCTAGAAATTTTGACCCTAGGCAGTTCCTCACCATTTTCAATGTGAGACAATTTGGCATAATCACGAAAGAGTCAGAACTTGAACGAGAAGAAATATTTCGAAGTGACGTTTTCGTTGCCGTTGCCGTCCTCGTTGCTAAATCTCTCTAATGAACACTTTGAACCGCAACTTTTTAATAAGTCGGTAAAAGGTTCACATAATGAACCCATTCATCATAATGAACATTGAACTCGATTTTGGTCTTTACAACAACTGTAGAGATTGTTGTGCTCTCATTGGTCGAGAGCCGTTATCAACAAGAGTATTGACAATGAAAATTATGTAATATGTAACGCAAGGCTCAGCAATCCCCACCATGTAGGAGAAATTGTCAAAATTTGTTCTTATAAAGGAATGGCAAATTTACACAACATGAACACTGGTGAGTTTCCAAATTTCGATACCGGTGTATGTACTGGGTGCAATTTTCGGCGAGGAGAGATTCGAAACAAAAGAAAATGCAAAGGGAAGCTCTTCCTGAAAGAAACTTCACGGCTCGCAACATCCAAGATGACAGGCAAGACGACCTCAAAGAAATCACGTCGACGCCGAAGCAAAAGGTATCATGACACACAAAGAGAGTGATAAAAAACAATTCAAGGAAATATTGCCATACATCAATTACTAGCATTTAGACGTAGGAGTAAATTTATTACACAAATTAGAAAGAAAAAGAACACGTAAACGTCTATCGATTCACAAAACGTGTTAAACGCTATTTCACAATCGACATATTCTGTAGGGGGAGGAGGGGGGTAAAATTTTGGGCCAGTGGCATAAACTGGTGGGGGCGGGTAATTTTTGGATACACGCACTTTCGGGAAGGGATACATTTTTAATCTGCCTTAGTTGTATAAAAGATCACCGACCCCCACCCCAACCAACTCCAACTCCCACCCACCACCCACCAACTCCAAATGTAGAGGCTTGTAAGAATGTTAAATATCCTTCTCCTAAATAGTAATCACCCGCAGGATGCTTTTATTCTTCTGGGATTATAGCCTCCAACTTCGGCAGACTTTTGCGAGCCCTACTGTGTGATGGCAGGCGTGCAGCGCAAATGTATTTACCCGGGGGTGGGGGTACTTCCAGAAAAATTGGGTAGGGGGTGTGCGGTACGCTTCCTGAAACCCTTAAGGCCTATACACACGAGGGGTTTTGCTC